TTCTCCTGCATGGAGGTCACTAGCAGCCACACAGCGGTGGGCTTTGTGATTCAGGACTGTTCTGGGTCTCACAGCACTGAGCTGCTCTCTGGGACACTTTACCATGACCCTCCCCAGGAGCTGGCCTGGTATTCACAGCAGCAGTGCCCAGAAGCTGGCCTCCTTCCCCCTGCTTGTTGTTCCTGGGGCCTCTGCTGACTCACTGCTTGTGTTCCACCTTCAGTGCTTCCCTACGCTTGCTATTTTGGGCCATCCAGTTGCACCTGTAGCGCCTAGCCTGCATCTCTGTCCTGCACACACACTCAGTGCACATGTGCATGTGTCAGTCTGCCCATCCTCTGTACTCACCTGCTTGCTTCACAAGGTCAGGTAGCCTTGAGCTGCTGCTCTGCGTTGGGTCCCTCTGACTGCAGGAGCCAGGGACTCTTGGGGGAGGACAGGTCCTGCCAGGGTACACCGTGTGCCATGTTTTGAACCTGACTTACCAGGGTTTAAAACTATTTATTGTGAAATGTGTCAGCGTCCCAAAGTTCACAGAGTAAACATGCACAGCATCCTGATCCTAAAGCAACACCTGTTGAGAGCTCACTTAGAGCCCCGTCCAGGCCCCTGCCCAGACAGAAGTTCAGGAATGGTGCCCTGTACCTCAGAGTTACCTGTGCGGAGGCTGCACAGCATGGTGCCTTGTTATTCTTCTGTATGTGGGTGCATTGGCCTTCCACTTGCTCACTGGTCCTCTGCAGTTCCTGCTCTGTGAAGTGCCCATTCCATTTGGCATCTTTTCGGGTTTTTTTCCTCATAGGTTTGCAGGAGTTCTTTGTATATTCAAGGACTTTTTCTCAGTTATGTGCAGGAAATACTCTCCTGCTTTGGGGGAAGTGGCCTTTAATGGTCATGAGCCTTGGTGACTCAGTTTCTGACTATTCTTATGGAGTGTTTCTTTGTCTTGTCCTCAAGTTGCAAAGGTGGTCCTGGGTGCTCCTGCACACTGCTCTGTGGCCTGGGGTGGCTGGTGTGGGGCTGCATTGTTTCCCACGGTGTCCAGCTCTGCTCTTGCCTCAGAGGGACAAAACTGTCTTTCTCTGGCAACCGAGGTAGGCCCAGGCTGTCTGCTATTTTGGCCCCTGCTGTCCCTGATTGGGTTGGGTTGGGTGTGGTGGTGTCTGAGATGGGACCAAGGGCCTCATGCATGCTAGAAAAGCACTGAGCCACATCCCCAGCCCTATTCTTTATTATATTTAGAGACAGGGTCTCACTGAGTTGCTTAGCACCTTGCTAAATTGCTGAGGCTGGTTTTGAACTTGCCATCCTCCTGTCTCAGTGTCCTAAGCTGCAGACATGCGCCACTGCACCCAGCTATTTTTTTTTTTAAACTAATATTCACTTGTATAATTTGAAGGTGTTTCCTCCAGTTTCAACTCTCTGCATGAGTTTTTGTTCCTTTCAAGACCCATTTCTCCTTTGGGTCCTTGCACCAGTCTGGGGGTCTGGGCTGTTGTTTCTTGCACCTGGTGCAAGTCGTCTTCTGCAGGCTGGGCTCTTGGCCTGGTGTTGGGCAGAGGCTCTAGCTTCCAGGACTGCAGCCCTTCTCAGGACGAGGCTCCAGGGGCCCACAGACCTCCTGTTTATGTGAGACCCCTATGATGTTATTTTATTAAAAAGGTTAGCTTGAGAAAATTTAGATATTTTGTTCATTTGAAAGTAATCAGTATCATGTGTTAGAATACATTAATTTCTATTAAAGTATAACCATCTTACAAAAGAATTTGGTGCATGGAGGAAGGTAGCATTGTTCCAGTGCCCACACCTTGTTGTTGTCTGGCCGACCTCCCTCACAGCAGGCCACTGCTCCTGCTTGCAACTGGCTGCCTTGCCACAGGTGGATGGGAGGTCTGGCTTGCACAGGGTGCAGTAGCACAGACATGCTCTGGTGCTTCACATGCATTACTGAGGTCTTCGTTCTAGTCTGGAGGACCAGTTCTTGCCCCATGTGTGAGCACTCCATCCTGGTCCTTTAGGAAACCCCGGCTCACTGAGTTGTGCAGGTGCTTCATTGTACATTACTAATGATGCCTTTGATAACATTGCTGACCTCATAGAAACACCTTTCCCTTGTGCAGAGGCATCAGCCCAATGCTGGTGGGTGCAGGTTTTCTAAAGTTCATATTTCCTTTCACTTGAAAGCTCAGACGTTATTGCTGTCAGTTTTCCTTGAAGTGATCAGCTCACTCCGTTTACTTTAGAGAAAACAACAGTCGGGCCCTGTCTCTGTGGGTTCCATATCTGCGGATTCAACCAGTCAGAGATTGAAAAAGTTAGGTGGGAAGTGGGTCCTGTACTGAGCACGCACAGACTTCTCTAGCACCCCTCCTGCATGGGCTGCACTCAGCATTTATGACACTTCAGATACTAGAGTTATCCAGAGAGGACTTGATGTGTAGGAGAACAGGGATGGGTCCTGTGCAAACACCACTCCGTCGTATACCTTGAGCTTGAGCGCTGTGGGCTTTGCTATCTGTGGGGGCCCTGGAACCAGTTCCTAGAGACCCCGTGGGACACAGGAACTGCCAGGCACCCAGTTCACGGTAACTTTGAGATTTGGGCAGGAAAGACAGCCCTTTAGGGAAAACTCCTGTTCAGAGTTAAAACTGGAGGAAACACCTTCAAATTACACAAATGAATAGGAGCACCACGAGCAGACACTTTCCCTGTGATATTTGAGGCCTGTGATAAGCACCCAGGGTGCTCAACACGCAGGCCTCCCCCTGCCAGAGCCTTGGAAGGGCAGGACTGGCGGCCATGAGGTTCAGTGTTCAGGGTTTCACCATGCCCAGCACTGAGTGCCAGGTTCTGCTGCCATCACATGATAGTAAAGTCATTGTGACCCCCAGTGCTGGCATCAATGCTGTGAAAAGGGCTTGTGGCATCTTAGAATCATCATGAACACATGTGAGGCCCCAGAGCCTGCGCAGTGAAGCCGGCCAGACAGAAAGGCACATGGCAGCTGGGGTGCGCCTCAGTGGCGGAGTGTGTGTTGTGCATGCCCAAGGCTCCGAGTTTACCCCAGCAGCGCAGAAACAATAGAGGAGCATGAGCCAGTGGGAGGGCTGCATCCTGGAGAGCTTTAATTATTTATGGACACTAAAATCCTAATTCCAGGTAATTGGGGGGGGTACCATGAAGCTTTAGCCTTTTCATTTTCCCTTCCCTCAAGCATAAACCTGTGAAACCCATTCCTAGCTCTCAGGCCTGCCAGCTGCAGTGTGCTGCCCAGGCAGCAGGACCTCCCAGCACTTTCTCAGGAGCGGTCCTGGGAGGTCTCAGTAGTTGCTGCATCCTCAAAAACACTTTGGTTTGCTCTTAACTCTGGTTGACTGTGGCCAAGTGCTTCTTTTGGAAATGCTTTTCTCCAGCTGCAGCTGCTGGTTGCTCCACCCTGCAGGCCCTGTCAGCAGAGGACAGGCCAGTGTCTGGAGACTTTGCCTGTGTCCAAGCTGCTGAGGGGCTTCTTTCCCAGGCCACACACAGACTGGGCAAAGCCTCCTGTGCCATGCGCATGGGTCCTCTGCCCCTGTTGACACGGTCACAGTTTGTCTGTGCTGTTCCATTTGGTTCAACGTGTGCCCGAGTGCTTTTCTGTCTGTCTTTGGAGCATCCACCGCAGACCCTTTGTCTTTGGGACTCTTTCTCCCCTGCTGCTAGAAAACTACTGTTTGATTATTCTGCATCTTAGTTTTGGGGTGGGTAGCTCTGGGATGGCTGGGCCACAGAGCTGTCTGTTGCAGGGCACAGTGGGTGAGTGTATGCTGACAGCGAGTGCCTCGTGTCCACCTGGAGCTGAGATCAAGACAGAAATTCTTTGGTGTGAGGCTGGGATAGGGCTCTGTGGCAGAGCATTTGTCTGGCATCTGCAAGGCCCTGGGCTCAAACCTAGCACCAGGAGTGAGTTGGGGGATGTGAGGCTGTGTCCTGGAGAGTGGCAGAGAGAATCTGAGAAGCAGCACCCGGTGATCTCTAGAGGTCAGGAGTCCCTTCAGGCGGGGACCCCAAGATGAAGGCCTAGCAGAGCCAGTGTCTGACGAGGGATGTTTCTGGCTCTGTCTTTTCCCTGTGTGCTTACGGAGAGACCACTGTCAGCCATCTTGGGGATCAGGCAAGATCAGTGAAGGGCTGCAGTGAGAATCCAGAGGCCATGGGTCTGCACACAGTAGGTTGGGGTCTAGGAATCCTGGCTCTGCACGGGGGCAGGCCTGGCTATTCAGGGTGCTCTGTCCTGCAGGCTTTGCTGCATAAGGACAGACTCTGGTTGTGTGGTGGGATAGGGACCATTGGCTGAGTGTGAGGCTTACACAGGAGGTGGGTGGTTTGCATCAAGCCCTCGCTGTCTCTAGGAACCAGCCCCTGGCCAGCAAGCCTTGTAAGATGCCAGGAAGTCATAAAACACAGGGGGAAAAAAATGCACAGTAAATGCAATATGTGTCCCAGGTTTCCTGGGAAATACAGGCTGGAGCTTGGGCCCAGGTGGGCAGAGCGGGGTCATGAAGCCATGGGGATCCTCGGGACTCCTCTGTGACACAGGCCTGTGCCTGCATCCATGAGTGCCTGTGCCTGGGGCTTGACGAGAAGCAGAATGGTTCTCCTCCAGCCTTCTGTTGGGGTGCTTGCAACTGGCAAGCAGGTCTTAGAGGCTGAACCTGGGAGACTGGAGCCATCAGGCCTGCAGCAGAGGGAAGGAGAGGGGACTGCCACTTCCAACCTGAGGGCGCAGGCCCAGGTGTGGTTGTGCCAAGAGCCAGCAGCCCGACCAGGCCATCTGCTTCCTTTCTGCCCAAGCCCAGCTGTGTGACCCACCTTGTTTCTCATCACTGCTGGTGGCCCTGGTAGGGGTCTGCCTGGACCCACTCCCCACATGGAGTACGGCCACTGCTGCCCTGGAAAGAAGTCATTTAGTTGGTGTAGTGTGGCCGGTTTTTAACCCTGTGTACTCTCTGTTGAAGCAGACTGGTGATGATGACGCGGTGGCGGCCTAGAGGAGACGAGGCGCGGGAGCAGAACGATGCCCAGGGGCGCACGCTCTAGAACTCCACAGCAGGAAGACTTTTCTCCCAGCAGCGACATGGTGGAGAAACAAACTGGGAAAAAGGTAACCCCACCTCCACCATCTGGGCGCTGCATGCTAGTGGAAGCCCCCTGCATGTGGGCAGAGAGCCACTCTCCTGTGGCTCTGAGGAGGGCCACCAGGGATGAGCTGTGTCACAGTGTCCCGCTTGCACACACTACTGAGAATTTCACTTTCAAGTCCGTTTGTTCTGTTCTGGGGGAGCATTTCTGTCCTACAGTGCTAGGGGTGGCAAGTGTGGGCCCATGACCTGAACCACAGATGGGGGCTTGCTTTGTAGCTGTTGTCCATCCCATCCCCTGCTGCCTGGGAACGGGAGGGTTTTGGTGCAGCGAGTACTATGTACATCCCAGCAGTGCCACAGGCCACTGCCAGGAGTCCTGTGGCTGGCCTGTGTAGCCCTTTGGGCCTGTGTTCACTGCCAGGTGGGCCTCACCTCAGTGAGTCCTTGGGCACTGGTGGCTTCAAGCTGCTTCTGCCCTCACCCCTGGGCGCTGGCACTGCCTCCTCCCGCCCTCCGTCACCCCAGCCTCTGGCAGTGTTTGGGTTTGAAGTGCTTGCTGTGAGGCCAGCAGGTAGCTCTGTGTAGAAATGGCTGGGTGGAGCCATATATATTCATTAAGCTTTGGTTGAACATGGACAAGCTGAATGAGCCTCTGGGACTCTTGGCTGTGGCCTGTGTCCCCTGTCCTCCCCTGCTTGCTCTGTCCAGAGCGCCTTGAGCTGTGTACTGGGGCAGATGTTGCAGTGTGGGTACCTGGCATGCTGAGGCATGTGTCTGGCCAGTGTCATACCCTGAGAGGGTAGACTTTACCCTGCAGGGTGTGAGCTGTGTGCTCTGCTTACGTAGCCAGCATCAGAAGCTTCTTACGTCCGTGTGGTCGAAACAAGCACAAGTCTCAGAACCCCAAAATGTCCATTAGAGACTGGGACCATTCTTAGACTTAGATTGGGCTCTGGAAGCAGAGTGTGGTCTTCAGCCCACAGAAGACCTGGCGGGACAGGTGTGGAGGCAGGGAGGTCAGAGCTGGAACTCTAGGCCCCCACTATCAGGCAGGGTGCAGGAGGATGGGAAAAGGAGACCCTGGCCCTTAAGCTGACCAAGATGAGTAAGCAGTGGAGGGAGTGACTGGGCCTCCCAACTCAAAGCGGGTGGTTGACACTTGGTATCTGCTGGGCATGGGGGAAGGCCCAGGGCAGTCCTGTGAGTGAGGGCTGAGCCTTGGAAAGCAGGCTGCACCGGCCTTACAGGGCCCTCTCCTGAGGCAGCTTCTGTTGTGCCACTGCACTAGGTGCTGAGCACAGAAGCTGGTTCCAGGTTGGTTCAGGTGGTTTTGTTTGGTTTTGGTACTGGGGAAGACCCAGGGGTGCTCTACCACTGAGACACATCCCTGACCCCCCTTTTTTTTTTTTTTTTTTTTAAATTGAAACTGGGTCTATGTTGCTTAAGGCCTTGCTACTTTGCCAAGGCTGGCCTTGAACTTGGGATCCTCCTGCTTCAGCCAGCTGATTATAGGTGTGCACCACCATGCCTGGCGTTGTTTGTTTTGTCTTGCTTTTTTGAGGAGGGAAAGTTCATTTTGGGCTCACGGCTTCACAGGCTCAGTTAGCCAACTCCATAACTCAGTAAGATGAGGCAGAACATCATGGTGGAAGGTCATGGTGGAGAGAAGCTACATGGCTAGAGGCTGCCAAGGATACCAGGCCAAACCCAGCAAGCCCTAAGCCAAGTCTGCGCCGTGGCTGCAGGAGAGCCTGGATCAGACTTTTTTGTTTTGTTTTCCCAGTAGGTAGCAGTGTTGTTTTCCTGTGTGTGTTCTTAAAACCATCAGAGCTAAAGCCTCCTCTCAGACACAGTTGCCTGTAGGCTGTTCTGAAGAGTCCTGACCTGGTGGGTGTGCACAACAGGGGCAGGCATGAAGCAGACTCCCAGCTGCACCCATCAGGCACAGGGGCAGGCTCATGGAGAAGCGGGTGTTCCTTCAGGTCTCCTTGCGGGTGAGGACCTGCTCTGGAAGTGGTCTCTGGAATATGCAACCTGGGAGTAACCTTGGCAGGAGCCAGGAAACCCTGTACTGTTGAGTGTGTCCTGGTCCAGAGAAGACAGGGGCTGTCATGGTGTCAGAGACTGCCCTGCAAGAAGTAACATCCCTGATCTCCAGTCCAGAACTCCCTCCATTACAGGCTATTGCCCCTTGCTGCTGTGCTCAGCCCACACTACTCTGAGTGAAGACTGCAAGCCTCTTCTGGCTGTTCTCAGAGTGACTTCTAGACCATGGCTTCAGCTGGGAACATGCCCTGGTCACACTCAGTGAGCAGGAAGCTAGGAGGGGCTCTGGAGTGAGCTGTGTCTGCATGGTGCATGCCACAGCTGGAGCACCAGCAGGACCTGCAGGCTCACAGCGAGGAAGCCTTGTGGAACCTACAGGACTGCCCTGTAGGTCCACTTACCTGGCATGCTGCTGGTGGGCACGTTCCTTAAGGGATGAGGCCATCTCTAGAGGTGGCCGTGCCACTGCCACCATGGGGTTGGTGGGGCTTCAGCTTGTACTGCTTCCTCCTGTGGTTTCCAGGCATGTTCTGAAGCCACAGGGCTCTTGGCTGTGGGGTCCCAAGGAGGAGCGTGCAGCTTCATCCAACAAATAACAGAAAGGGGCCGACAGCCCTAATGGAGTCAGGTCATCTCAGACTCCAGATAGACTATCATGGTGGCAATAGAGAGAGACCAAGTCTTATGGTCCCTGATGGACACCTGGAGATTCCCTGCTCGCTGTTGGGACTTCTCTCAGTCCTTTTTGCTAGAACTTGCCAGGCTTGGGTCCTCTTTTCTCCCAAATCAGTTGTGGGGCTGAGGACAGGGCCGTGGGTCATTATGAACGTCCTCGTGGTTTCTGCTTGCTCAGCACAGCTCCCACAGACTCCTCTGCCCTGATTGCAATAGAGCAGCATTGAAGGGCCACCTCAGCACTGCCATTGCCAGTGACCCTGAGGGTCCTCCCATGTCCCCCCCCAACAATGCCTTGGGTGCAGGCGGAGTCCTATTAGGTCATTCTTTCCCTGGACTCCTCTTTCTGATTTTAATAAGAAATTTAATAAATTTAAATTTCTGATTTTAATAAGGCAGAACTTTCTTGGTTTGGGGGAAAAAGGCTCAGAAAACCCCAGGACTCGGCCTTCCTCTGGTGTGGCTCTTGTAGTGGGCACTCTGTTTGTCCTGCTTTCCCTCATTCTCACCTAACCTCCCTGTAAATCCAGTCCATTTGTTTTTCTTCCAGATTCTTTTTTTTTTTTTTTAATGATAGGCAAATGCAAGGTCGCAGACATTAAAGAGGATAGTGTACATTGGCCAAGGAGGGTTTACACCAAGAATTTGAGGTTCAGCTGACATCCAGAATCAGTTTATTATGACCAAAACAGAAAACCCTGTAGTTTTGTCAGTTGATGAGTGCGCATGCACACACACTTGGCCAAATCCAAGACCCACTCATTACAGAAACCCTCAGAAAGTATATGGGGTAGAGGGAGTTCCCTTACCTGACGCACCCTGTGGAAGACCAGCTCCTGGCCAATGATGAGTGCTAAAGAAAACTGCCCTCAGCACCAAGCTGCTCACAGATGCCATGGAGGAGGCACGGGAGCCCTCAGATCAGCATGAGCGGCAGTGTAGAGCCATAAATGCAGTTCATGGAGCCAAAAACATGGTCAGAAGCATCAAAAACATGAATTATTTGGGGATAAGTTTAAAAGATATGCTTCAAGGTTTGAACCCTGAGAGCTACACAGATTGCTTGCTGTGAGAAGTTGGGAAGGCCTAAATAGGTGGAGAGTTTTGCCATTGGTGAGAAAGCTGAGCGCTGTTCAAGCTCCTCCCTCCCAGTGGATTTGTGGGTTCAGTGTAGGACCGTGAAAACCCTGATTCCAGAGGACCTGGAACAACCATGGCCACGGTGGAGAAACAGAGCACGCGTAGAGCACTCAGGCTCCCAGGACTGTGCTCAGCAGAGGGCCGGGGCAGCTCTCTGACAGGTAGCCAGTGCCCACTGTACTGGTTGCTCCTCCTGGGTCCCTCCATGGCTGGTCACGGAGTATTGCTAACCTTGGGTGGTTCCCAGCACTAGCACCAGGTAGACCAGCACCCTTTTTGATCATGCAGTTAGGACTTCATTGTTTCTTGCGATGCTGCTTGTAGTGGCAGTCATGGAGCGGTGGATGTTTAAAACAGTACTTCTTCCAGGAGTGGCGCACACCTGTCATCCTTGTGCCAGGGGAGGCTGAGGGCAGGGGTGTGGCTCAGGGGTAGCACCGGGATTCAGCCCCGCCTTGGGGCAGCTGCAAGACAGCCTTTCTGTCTGCACCTCATGACGGAGTCCAGCACATTGGATCACAGCCAGCCCAGGTGCCGAGTGTCTCCACGTGGCGTTGTCCACGGTGCTACTTGGGGGAGGGGCTGGGGTAACATTTTATGTGAAATACTTTTTGGTGAAATACAATGCACAATTGTAGCTTTTCTCCCACTTTGAAAACCAGGGACAGTCTGCATTCTGAGGAACATGCACAATGTTTTCTGGGCTCTGGGACTGTCCTTGCTGTCCCTAACCAGCAACCCCCTCTATGCCAAAGGTGGCCCCTTTTCTGTCTCTGTCACCACAGATAAGAAGTGGTGATGTGAGGGCAGTGTTTTCCGGCCTGTGGCTCTGCTTGGCTGTTGCATAGCCCTTTGGCGGGCACCTCCGATGGTGTCATCATTCTTCTGTTGATGAATGTGGAGTGCATTCCCTCTGGGCAGTCCCTGTGACCCATCGGAATTGGTGGTCTCCTCCCTCCGCACACATGGCCACACGAGGGAGCATGGATGCATGTGTCCTGTGGCACTTGCCCTGTGCTGCCTCCTAGGAGCTATCTGGCTGGGATCCATCTGGGACTAGTCATGTGGTGTGGCACAGGGGCCACCTGGAGACCTGCCATGCCACCAGGCAGCCCCGGCTATCAATTCTGCTCTGTCCCAAGGCCCCCAGAGTGCAACACCCACTCCAGGACACGTGCTTGAGTACCATCGTTTCACAGTCTTGATGTTGGCAGTGTAAGCTGTTAGCCTTGTTGCCTTGGTGTTATGCTTAAAATAATATTTTTAGTTATAGATGGACCCAATACCTTTATGTTATTTATTTATTTCTATATGGTGCTGAGGACTGAGCTACAGCCCCAGCCCCTATTTGCTACTTTTGATCTTTTGTGTACTTTTCTTTCCCTTTTTTTTGTTTCCCTCCCTCCCTCCCTCCCTTCCTTCCTTTCATTTTTTGGTGCTGGGGATGAGACCCAGGAACACTCTACCACTGAGCTGCATCCCAAAGCCCCTGTTGTTTATTTTTTACTTTGAGTCAGAGTCCCCCTAAGTTATTGAGATTGACCTTGAATTTGTGATCCTTCTGCATTGCTGGGATTACAGGTGTGCACCACCATGTCCAACTATTTCCATATACATTTTCTAATAAGCTGGAGTTTGGATTGCTTTGAATGTCAGTGTGTGGAGAAATATCATAGTTTTTGAGGTTTTTTAATTCTTAAACATGATGTAGCCTTGCATCTTACTTATGTCTTTATGTTCTCTTGTTACTATCTGGTAATTTTTTATGTAGTGGGCTCAAACATCTGTTTCTGGATTTGTCCCTAGGTTTTAATGTGTTTTGTTAGTGCATGATATTCTTTTTTTTTTTTTCTCTCTTTTTTTAAAAATTTATTTATTTTTTTAATTTTTGGTCGTTCAAAACATTACATCTTTCTTGATATATCATATTTCACATTTGATTCAAAAGGGTTATGAACTCCCATTTTTACCCCGTATACAGATTGCTGAATCACATCAATTACATTTCCATTGATTTACATATTGCCATTCTAGTGTCTGATGAATTCTGCTCTCTATCCTATCCTCTACTATCCCCCCTCCCCTCCCCTCCCCTCTTCTCTCTCAACCCCCTCTACTGTAAAACATTTCTTCCACTTGTATTATTCTTCCCTTACCCCTCACTTCCTCTTGTATGTAATTTTGTATAACTCTGAGTGTCACCTTCCCTTTCCATGCAATTTCCCTTCTCTCTCCCTTTCCCTCCCCCCAGTGCATGATATTCTTAATATCCATGCCCAAGTGTTCATGGTACAGGGCACATCCAGCTCCTTCCTGTATCCAGCCGTCCCTCTAGTTCAGTTTGCAGAGTTCACTTGTGTACCCTTTTGGTCTTTGCGGAGGCAACGTGTCCTCTTGAGGTTAGTGCTCATGGTCCTTCCCTGAGGGAGAGGCGTGAGCCTGAGCTGCCACACACCCTTGCCAGCTCTGCCCAGGTGTAGTTGGCTGGCCGGTGTTGCACCCACACTGTGTGTCCTGGGCCTGTTTCCTCTCTTTCCTGAGGAGGACTGTCTTCCACAGCTGCCTGGGCAGCCCTTTGCTCTTCTGAGAAGTTGCTTTGCTTTGGCTTTCGATTTCTCAGCAGGTGTGGGCATGGGTGTCCCTGCCAGGGTCTCTGCTGTGCAGCTGCCCTCAGCTGTCCTGCAGTGCTGGCTCTGTCTGTGTGGCCTCCTGCTCACTGCTGTGGCTGTGTCTTTTCCTCGAGCCCCTTAATGTGTTTGGTGCACCAACTTTTTTACATCTGCATTCTTGACTCCATCACCCTGGCTGTGTACTGCCTTCTTACCCATCCGTCCATCACTGGTGCCTGGTGAGCGCTTGCCCTCTGTTCAGGAGGAGCATGGCTCACACTATGCACAGAACACCCTTGTTGCGTTCTGGAGCCAGGGCTGTGGCAGCCTCAAGAGTGAGTCGGGAACGTGTACTCTTTCTCTTTTCTCTGAAAGAGTTTGTGCTAGGAGTGGTATTATTTCTCCTCTGAGTTCTTGGTAAAGTCCACCTAAAGACCAGGCAATTTCTTGGTATGAAACTATTTAATCAGAGTCTTGTAGTTTTTGTTGCACTCTTCCCTGGTGTTGGGTGGCACGGTTCATGGGTGTCTCCTGCTGGGAGATGCCTGTGCCCATGCAGAAGGGCGGGGAGGTATGGTGCCTGGCGCTGGGTGCTGCACTTGCACACAGCACCTCCTGGACACCCTTCCTTGTGCTGGTCTTGTTGCCCTGGCTGTGTCTGAAGCACTAGGGGCAAACAGCTAAATTGGGGGAACAGCACTCCTTAACTACCGGGCTGGGAAAGGCAGAGGTGGAGCAGTCAGCAGGAGGCAGGGCCAGGGAGACCTACTGCTGGCACGGCCCCAGGCAGCGCCCCACCTCATCCCGCCAGGAGCTTCTCAGAACCCCAGTGCTTTGAGGGCAGCCCTGCAGCTGTGCTGTTTGCCAGTGACTGTGGCTGCTCCTCTGAAACGGCAGTGTGCCAGTGCCTTCGTTCAGCCTCCCACCCAGCCGCAGAGCAGCTGGCCCCGAGGGAGGCCACAGCCTGTGACTCCATGTGGGCTGAAGAGGCCCCGGTTTCAGCTGGCTGCAGCTGATCAGAACTGGTATACCTTTACTGTGCACCCACCCAGCCCAGCCTGGAGCAAAGGGTCCCTCCTGGCACTGACCGCAGCCACCTCAGAGCCACCTTTGCCTCAGGGGACCAGCTTCCCCTCTCAGCATGATTGCCAGCTCTTATAGGGGGCACATTTGTCACTGTGAGTGGCCTCCGCCCTCACCCTCAGGACCCAGCTGCTCCTTCCTGACCTTGCTCCAAAGCTCCACTTTCTACCAGGTGAACGTGCATTCTGTGACCTCAGAGCCTCAGGTAGACACTTGGCTCATGTGGCACATTATGGGAGACTGTAGCCTGAGTGTATGTGTGAGGTGTGCCCAGCTTCCTCCTCTGGAGTGGACACTGTGCCCACTCTGTAGTGGTGCGCTGAGCCTTACCCAAGGTCAACCAACTGGTAGAGGAGGTGGAATTGGAGCTGCTGGGTAGTCACCTTGTGAGTGACACTCCTGCCAGCCCCTCTGTGAGGGCCGCAGTCAGGTGGTCAGCCTGGGCTCCTTACAGCCAGGCTGAGGGTCCGAGGTGAGAGCAGAAGGGCAAAACTGCAGCCTTGCAGCATCCAGTGGGCACAGGGAAGGAAGGCATGGCATCCAGTCACAGGGAGCTGCACACTCAGTGGGTATTGATCACCTTCAGTACCCAGCCACGGTCAGGCTTCAGCTGTGGTTCCTCTACACACCAGTACCCGTGTGGCTCTGCACTGTGGCCTGGGGCAGGAGGAGTAGTTGATTGCCCCCCAGAAGAGGTTCAGGGTTTGTGGCATGTGAAGTGAGATTGTAGCCAGTTTGAGTATTTTGAGGATTTAGTCTGGAAGTGATTTCTGAAAGCAACCTCTTTTTCCCCCACTAGGATAAAGATAAAGTTTCTCTGACCAAGACCCCAAAGCTGGACCGCAGTGATGGAGGAAAGGAGGTGAGAGAGCGAGCCACCAAGCGGAAGCTGCCCTTCACTGTGGGGGCCAATGGAGAACAGAAGGACTCGGACACAGGTACCACACTGGGCCCCTCCTCCCAGCCCCGCCCCTCCTGGCTCCATGCCGCACCGGCCTCTCCAGGCACTGCCTCTTCTTCCCTGCATCGGGCTGCTGTGGAGCTGTAGGAAAGCCTTGTCCCAGGCTCTTCTGTGGGGCTGCAGCTGCCCTGCTCCGGGTGGACTCCTGGAGGGCCACACACAGCAGGGATGTGGTTTTCCCACACAGATTAAGCTCCATTGCTTGTAGTGAAAGCCAGAGGGAACTCTGAAAGTGCCTTGTGGTCTTCCTAAGCATAGGTGGGTCTGAGGGTGTTGAGCAGGAGCGTGTGCGCCCAGGCTGGCCATCTTGAGCTGCTTGTGGAGAGTCTCTCCCAATGGCCTCCCCACCTGCTGGTCTTCTGAGTTCTCTGTAGCCCCAAAAGGTAGGACTGAGGGGCAGCAGAACACCAAGATGGCCCCAAGACCTGAGGTGAACTGGCTGAGGGCCCTGGGCTCCCTCTGGCATCCTTTGGCACCAGGAAGGGAGGCACACACTGAGAACATGAGACTGAACGAACATCCTCACTTGCTTGGAGGAGAGGTGGCTGACGCCGCAGCCTGGAAATGAGTGTCCACCCACAGTTTTCACCAGCAGAGTCCAAGGAACTGCCTTTGGGCTCTTGTGGTGGTCGCAGGTCCTTCTCCCACCCTCTAGCCCAGAACTCCCCAGAGCTGGGGGGACTAGCTAGCTGGAGGCCAGCAGAGGGGCTGGTCTCCACCTCAGAGCAGGCAAGTGGCAAGATTGGCAGACATGATTTATGGCATATTAGGGCAGGGGACGTTTTTCAGAGACGCGGGGGTGGGGCACGGTCAGGGGCTAGTGGATGTGGGCATGGCGTGCACCTGGAGGAGGTCAGGCCAGGCCTGGAAATCCTAGTCCTGGTTTGGTGCCCTGATGGCATGGCTTAGCAGGGGTGCTGTTCACAGTTGGTTATCGGCTTTTTACCCCTTCTCTTTTTCTTCTTTGCGGTGCTGGGGATGGAACCCAGGGCCTCGCACAAGCTAGGTGAGCACTGCATTGCTGAGCCACATCCCCAGGCTGGTTATTAGCTCTTTGGACGTAGATGGTGTGAGGTTGGAAGGAGGCCCCTGAGAGAAGAGCTGACGTGCACGTGCTGGTGCTTCTGCAGCCTGGGAGAGCCCTTTGGCTTGTGGAAGGGGTTACCCGTGCCCAATACCCTGCTGAGCAGCCTTGTCCTGCTGGTCTAGAATGTATCCCGTTCCAGTTTGTCACATTTTGATATAGTGGTATAAGGAGGCCATTCCCCAGGGGCTCCAGGAGGTCTCAGGGGCCCCTTCATTGATGGTGAGCATCTATGAGGCTCAGCCTGCTGCACCTTCATTCTGTGGAACCTGCAGAGATCCTTAGCCTGTACCCAATGTCCATGCAGTGCTGTTGTTCACACTGCATCCTGGTTCCAGCAGGCAGAGGCCCAGCTGGGCACAGGGGAGATTTTGGCCAGGGGAAAGGGCAGGAAGTTTTGCAGTGGATTCCCGCCGGGGCAATGTGCCTCCTGCTCTGGGGCTGGGTTCTCCCAGGACCCGTTCTGACATGGCCTCCTTGCACGTCTGCTTCCTCATTGTGACAGAATTAGACCTCCCATGAGATGGCGATGCGACCGTGAGTGTGCAGATGGCATCCTGCATTCATTCTTTTGGTGCTGGGAATGGAACCCAGGACCCCAAATATATGCTTGGCACGTGTTGGCACCCTGAGCTGCTCCCCAGCTGGTGAATCTTGGTCTTGCTCCACACCTTTTGCCCGCACTCACCTGTTACCTGTCTCCTTCCTTCTCTGCTGAGCTGGGCGCTGAGCTGGGCCCTGGCTCACTGTACCCAGAGGAACAGTGCTTGCTGAGGAAGCGGGAGTGAGAGGCGCATCTGGCTCTGGGGTGGCATCCAGCCGCCTCCCTCAGGAAGGAAAATTTACACAGAACAGGGAGATTCATGCAGTGATCTTTTTTTTTTTTTTTTTTTTTTTTTTTTAAATAAAGAAAGGTTTGTTTTGGCTCACGGTTCTGGAGGCTGGGAAAGCACTGGCATCTGCAGGATTTTTATCCTGGTGAAAGAGTGATTGAGAAAAACACCCCCTGGTCTTCTCAGCTGAGGAGGAGTCTGCCCTCCCTGAAGGGATATGGCTTAGCCCCCTGGCTGGAGGAAGCCAGGACAGGCAGGTGCAAAGCCCTGCATCCCAACCCCACTAGCCCTCCTCTTGCAGCGTCCCTCCAGCGCCCTCTGCTGAGAAGGCCTGGAGCTTTGCCATGGGAAGGTGGCCTAGCTGAGGAGGGAATCAGCCTCCCACAGACAGCTTCTCTGGCTGTGCCCTGAGAGGCAAGAAGCTGCTGCAGGAGTGGTCTCTTGCTCCCTGACCCCAGTGTGCATGGCCTAGCCCACTGGAGGTACAGCCCCCTGGTGCTGAGTCAGGCTGGATGGCTTGCCAGGAGCAGTACAGTTGGGCCTGTTGTGAGCAAAACGAGCAGGACCAGCCCCTGAGGTTGTGCAGCACAGCACCATCACCTCTGCTAAGGCCTCTGGGCACAGTGGGAGGCACAGCTGTGGAAGCAGGTCTGGCTGTCTGCGTAGCAAAAGGAAGCTGCCCAGAGATGGTGCTTGCCATAGGCTCAGAAGAAGGGTTAGGGTCAGCAGACAGTCCTTCCTCAGACCAGGTCAGCCCAAGGAGACTCACCTGCTTCCTTCTGACTTGTTCAGGCCTCTATCCCTCACTGCCTCGGTCCAGTTTTAGTGGGAAAAGCTTTGTCACCACAAGAACTCATGACAGAATTAATGTCCTGCATTTGCTTCAGATGGTACTGTCTGTGCACCCGTGTTCCCCATGTTTTAAAAGTCTGTGAACATTGTTAGGTATTCCCTGATGGGGGAGTTCCACACAAGCCCGCCACTCCATCAGCTGTGACCCTTGGTCTCCCTTCTTCCTGCCTGGGACACCAAGAGGGACACACCTGAGAAAAGAAGCCACCATGTCAGAGAAGTCTGCAGCTGGCGGCTCTGTGGAAGAGGGAACATTGCTTGCTTGGCTTTCCTGGTTGAGCAGGGCACCAGCCCCTGGATATCTACAGCGTGTTGCCATGTATGGTCAGTGGTAGACGGGTTTCCGGGGGTCACAGCCCCTTTAGCTTTTGCTGGGAAAGGACTGTTCTTGCACCATAGGAGGGGTGTCAAGGCTGTGCCAGCCAGGACACTGATCCATGGCTTGCTCCCTAGGTGGAGAGCAGGGTGTGCAGGCCTCCGGCTCGCTGGCTGGGAGCACAGCCAGGGCGGGCTTCTCCACCTCACCATGTGGCTGTGGACATGGTACTAACAGGCTCCCAGCAGCACCCTGCCAGGTCGTACCCCAGGACCCCTCCAGCTCCCCCAAGGCATTACAGGGAGGAGGAGTCTCCCACTGTCTTGAGACCTTGGTGGGTGAGGTGAGGGTGAGTGGCCAGGTCTTGGTTGCACAGGGAGGATTCTGGAATTGGCCCAAGAACCACCTGTGGGCACTTGGGATGAGACATGTCCAGGTGCAGTGTTTTCCATGATTGAGATGCCATGATCAGCTTCTGTCCTGCTGTTTCTTGGCCATTCTTCCCATCTAGACCTGGGCAGTTCCGTTTCTTCTTAAACCAAGGGGAGCATGAACACCAAAGGAACCCTGGGGCCGGTAGTTGGGCCTACAGCATGACACAGTGAGTCGGGGGCCAGCAGACACCCAGCCTAGTGCTCTGCTGGGAGTTTTACAGCTTCTGGAGGGGAACCACATGGGGCTAGGCAGGCACTGGGCCAGGCTGCCTCATCCTGGTGCCCCACTGCGGGCTCTGGGCAACCTGCCCACCTTGAGTTGCCCTGTTAGCCGTGGGGGGAGCAGCTGCAGAGGTGCAGGGCATGTAGGTGGGATGGGTGGGCACAGTGCAGGTCTTGCTGCATGTCCACCTTGGGTCTGCTCACATCAACATGGCTTCTTGGCTTGTTGTGCTGAGTGTGATAGTGGTCAGGAAGTTGTCCTCTTGGTGCCAGTGTCACTTTTCAATTCTGGCCCGTCTGCTGCTGCAACCTGTAGTCCTGTGCCTCATGTGAGTCTAGAGATGCAGGGTCAGACAGCCAGGAGCCACCATGCTACAGGTGAAGGCAAAAGGGGAGAGGACCCAGCCCCTGCCCAGAGGGAGGAGCCAGGTTGAGGCTGGAGACTGGGTCACAGCATATGGTGACGGGGGTCTCAGCACAGGGTGCAGGGTACAGCACATGGATTCAGGGTCTTTTTTCTTTAAACAATCATTGGCGGTGACAGAAGGAAGAAAAGACGGGTCAAGAAATGGGATCTAGTGTGAGTGCCAGCTGTAGGCTGGCTGCCCAGGGCACGCCCTGTGCGTCTCTATTGGTCTCTTCTGGAGTTTCAGCCCAGGCTTAGGGACAGGTTATGGTCCCTTTTGTAACCAGTGATCTGGTGCATAGGTTGTACACCTCTGGGGCTTTATGATGGGAGTGCTGTGCTTCATGACCCCAGATGTGGACTAGGGCCGGTGCTTGGTATGGCAGGTAATGCTTTTGAGGCCCAGGAAAAAGGAAGGGAGCTGTCTATGACAGGAAACTGCACTGACCAGAGCATGCTTAGCTGATGTGCACAGGAATCTCCTGTTTTTCAAAACGTCACCACAGCAGTGCTCCTCTGGAGAGCAGAATAAAGAGTATTCTGCAATGGTGCATTAGTCCCTCTAATGTTCCCCTCTTGGCAGTAAAGTATACTGTGTGTCCTACACCTTTCTCTCTCTGGAAAAACCTGGAGCTCAGTGCTGCAGGTGCTCTGTGAGCTAAGGTGCACGCACCTATTAGCATCCAGGCCCATACCCTGAGGCTGTCCCTCAGGGGCTGAGCAGCAGGCTCCATCAATGTGACACACTGGGCTATTGGGAGGGGCCGCCTCCGCAGCCAAGCTCTCAGTCCCTTTGGGCAGATTCTGAAAAGGAAGGAGAGTCCTGCCCTTTCCTCTTGTAGGGCTGGCATTTTGGTTTGTGCTTCCTTATGCCCCTGGAAGTGCCGTGTGCTACTTGAGGCCTTTGACTGGAGCTAGGACAAGTGCTAGTGCCCAGGCAGAATGACAGACTGCAAGGCCTCCTGCTGTCCCAAGAGGCTCCGCAGCCTGAGGGACGTCACACCCTGGAACTACTGAGCATGAAAAAGTACACCGGTGGATTATAAGAGAAGAATTAAAAACAGAAGCAAGAAATAAAAGACTATAAAACATTATGCAGATTTATGTTTTAAGTATCATATGGAATGTTTTAAGTATCAAATGGAAATGAAAGTTATAAACACTAAAATTGAAAACCAGTGTTCCGACTGTGTAGCTAATTAGGTACAACATAATAAAGAATGAGCTAATTTGAAGTTGTAAGTAAAGAAATGTCATAGACTGAGGTGTAGGATAAAGACGGGATAGGAGGTGTGGACGGAGTGGGAGAAGAGAAGCAGGGGAGAATGGGCTCAGGTTAGGCCAAAGCGAGAGGAAGCAGAATCTAAAGGCTGGCGGCTGAGACCTTTCCAGAGTTCCTGGGAAAGGAATCTGCGTCTGCAGTGGGTAGTGAACGTAAACAGGAAGAAAGCAATCAGAGGCAAGCCTGTTGTCCTGCGTCCCGGAGACCAGGAGCGAGAATAGCCAGGAGGAGATGCTGCACAGCTCTGTCCCCCGATCACAGCCTGGCCACCCTAGCTCTCCTTGTTGTCAGAGCACACTGGGCCTCAGGAAGGTCTTATCCCATTGGACACAATGGCAGGAAGTGGACTCCTGAAAATAGGCCACCTCAGAACAGACCACCCCTGCCACCCACTCGGAGGGAGGCCCCACCCAGCAGTGCTGGACAGTGGGAGGAGCCAGGGGTCCCAGGCACAGGGGCGCAGGCTGAGGATGGTGTCCCGACTTACGTCAGAGGCAGAGAAAGACTGCAGAAGCACAAGGTGCTGCCACATCCCTTGTATCTTGGAGATGGCCGTCCAGCCGGGGCCATCCCTGGAGAAGTGCCACCCTAGCATCTTTGGGGGGAAAACGGGGAATGCATGGGAATGGGGACCGGTTGCATAGGCTGGAGGGCCTGGCTTGTCCCCTGCTATCTCCCTGGCCTCTGTGCTGGGCTCTACATCAAGTGCACCCAGCCTGTCGAGCACAGCCCTCAGGGGACATGAGGGCCCGTGGACAGCCAGAGACACACAGTGACCACAAGTGCCCCCTCTGCTGCACTGTAGGCTGCCTGTCTTCCCGGACCTGCCAGTGTTCTACTTTGTAACTTGGAAAAGACCATTTAAAGTTCACATAAAGTTCACTCGCTTCCATTTGGATAATGGAATTTGTGGGTGTCCCCATCAGCATCTAGGAGTGGCTCCTCCTGTTCCCCGCCCCATTTCCTCACCCTTGGTCACGACCCAGCTGGGGCCAGGCTATGAGGCATCCCGTGGGAGGAGGGTGAGGGGGCTGTGGCCACTCTGGGTCTTCTGCGGTGGGCATCATCTCAGCCAGGCACGGAACCCAGGGACAGAAAGTGGATCCTTGTGGGTGCTGATTGCCACGGCTACTTGGAGAAAGCTGCCTTTTGTGGAGACAGTGGCTCTCAGGTTATCAGACTGGGGTTTTTCCTGTTAGGACAAACCTCGTTGAAGGTTGGGCAGAGCTGTGTGGGGTGTTCCTGTCAGGGAGAGCCTTGTTCCTGAGGGGTGGGACAGGGCCCCCCGAGAAGGGTGTCATGCTCCCCCAGCACCACAGGGGCAGCTGGAAGCTCTTGTGGCTAAGCACAGGTGTAAATTCTGTCTGCCCTCACTGGGGCTCAGGAGAAGCCAAGGGACGGTGCTGCTCGTGAGTGGGCCACAGAGGGGGACAGCTGGCCTCCTTGTCCCTGGAGCCCAGGCCTGATTCAGTTCACTGTGGCCCTGTCGCTTCCTGCCCACCTGCGTGGCCCACCGTCTGCAGGTCTGGAGCGAGTGTTGTGTGCTGTCCTTCTCTGACCCTCAGAAGGAAGTGCAAGTAGGCCTGGAACCGGGCAGCCCCAGCCAGCCTCAGGCCAGCCACTGGTGCACTTCCCTGGACTCCTTGGCCATCTTAAAAGGACCGTTTGCTGCACGGCTAAGGTGGCAGAGTCACTCAATCCCAGGAGTGAAAGGCCAGCCTGGGCAGCACCCTGTCGTCCATTCACCACATGGAGGGTGGTCCCCTGGCCTGTGACCTGTGGAGTCACTGAATGTGGTCGTCAGACATCGCCTGCAAGCAGGATCTTGCTGTATCATGCTATACTGAGGCTCTCGTCGTGTCCTTATGGGGCGGGGTGTGGGGGTTCATGGCCCCCAGAGGTGTTGTCCCCCTGTACTAGGTACCTGGTATAGGGACAGGTCTTGGCTGCACAGAGGTTCTGGGCAGACCTATGGCTCCACGACGTGTGGACCCCTCCTCCTGGAGACAGGAGAACTGGTGGGCACTCAACCCCCACCTCATAGGGATGGCAGGTCCTGGAGCACCAGGAGAAGCACCCAGTATTGCCTGGGCTGGTTCTGTCATTGTCAGGACATAGCCACAGGACATGTAAAGGCATGTGTGTGGCCAGCTCAGTGGCAGGTCAGTGCAGGGACACAGAAGGTACAAGGCATGTGCACAGAGAGATCAAATGGAAACCTGATGCCCTGACTCAGTCACTGTGGCCCTGTTGCTTCTACGGGGACCTAGACATATGGGAGGGTGATCTGGCTGCGCCCCTGTCACCTCGTCGGTGACTGAAGTTGACTTGGCTATTCCAGCTGGTGTGGCAGGTGTCCTTGCCCTAGTCACTCCACATGCATCCCTCCTGAGGCTGCGTGCTGGGTTGAGAAGATGGCTTCCCTCCCTGCTTGAGGGCACTGAGTAGCTGTGGCCCTGCCCCAGCCTGCGGAGGAGCTGTATATTCTGCAGGCCTGGTCCAGGCCCCCTTGGGAGGACCTTCCTTTCTCCAACTTGTGTGGCACAGCTGGCTCTAGAACTGCTGGGCATCTGGGGCTCAGGCGGCTTCGCTGAGCAGTTGGCACCCTCAGGCACATGCTGAAACATGCAGCCTGTATTCCCAGTGAGTCACAGATTGGGTTTTTAAAGAAGCAGCCTAACCTCTCTACAGGACACCTTGGTGGCAGAACAGTGGGGTGGAGCAGAGCTGAGCAGGCAGCCCTCTGGAGACCAGCATCTTGCGGGACCCCAGACGTGCAGTCCACTCGGGCCACCTCACTGCCACTCACTCCCTAGGGACAGACTCTGGTCACCAAGGAAGCAGTTTAGTCCCGCAGAGGGCCTTCGTGGAAGTGAGGGATGGAGAGAAAGAGGGCATGCTCAGACCTGCATCTCCCACAGCGGTCCTCCCTGCTACTGTGGCTGCCCCCCCTCCCCATGGCCACAGAGATCCCTGAATCGTCTTGGCCCCGCACTGGGCTTCAGAACAGCAGGGTGTTGAGCAGCCAGGGTCTTGCTCCTGGCCTCCATTAGAGCAGGTGCTGGGCAAGGAGAGTGTGGGGTGTTCACCGCAGTCATGGAGTCTGGGGTGTCTGCTCCCCACCCCACCTCTTAGGAGCAGCAGCACAGTCTCCGTGCTGGAGGCTGCAGGGTGTTGCGTCATGGGTCAGAGGCGCCCAGAACTTGCTTGTCAGGAGGAGGCAGAGGTGGAAGGAGAAAGCTGTTTCGCCGTATCTCGTTAGTGCTCTGTGTTGATACCTTCAGATGCCTCCAGCTCAGTCCATGTTGTGGTACTGCAAGGCTGGTACGCTCCTCGAAGCACCACGGCATGAAATGGAGGTTCCTAGAAGCAAGAAGAAAGGTACAGTACTGACAAGTTGGCCTTGATTTATTTATGTATTTTAAACTCTGTCTGCCATTTTACATCTGCATTGTTTGTTTGGAGGAGGGCTGGGAAAGAGGCGTTAAATTGCAGACACATGTGCTGCCAGGTCAGCAGTGCCGACCATCCGCTGCTCCCGCCCGCGGGTCGGAGGCGGCTGCGGTGAGCAGACGTTGGTGGAGGCCAAGGTTCAGCAGACCTGGTGGGCTGGCAACAGGGTGTCAACTGTGTCTCTCACAGCTGCTGCTCTCAGGTGGGGCGGTGCCGGCGCTGCCAGCCACTGTGCCTTGTCCCTCGCAGGCCTCCCTACTGCTCTGTGAGTTGTTGGGCGGGACGCAGGGGCTCTGGAATGCCAGGCGAGGCCCTGGCTCTGAGGACTTGGCATGAAGTCTCTTCTCCTCTCCTCTCTCCCCCACCCATTGCACAGAGAAACAGGGTCCTGAGCGGAAGAGGATCAAGAAGGAGCCTGTCGCCCGCAAGTCCGGGCTGCTGTTCGGCATGGGGCTGTCTGGGATCCGAGCTGGCTACCCACTCTCTGAGCGCCAGCAGGTGGCTCTCCTCATGCAGATGACAGCCGAGGAGTCTGCCAACAGCCCAGGTGAGCCCTGGGGCCTTGGGCCTGGGAGGCACAGGGTCTGCTTGGTATGGGGCCCCGTGCAGAACCCCTTCACCTTGTGGAAGCGGCCAGGTTCTCCAGGCCTCCACCGCTCGGCGCCTCCTCCAGTAACGCCCCACCTGTCCCCTTGGCCTGCAGTAGACACCACACCAAAGCACCCCTCCCAGTCTGCAGTGTGTCAGAAGGGAACGCCCAGCTCTGCCTCAAAAACCAAAGACAAAGTCAACAAGAGGAACGAGCGGGGCGAGACCCGCCTGCACCGTGCTGCCATCAGGGGGGATGCCCGACGCATCAAGGAGCTCATCAGCGAGGGCGCTGATGTCAATGTCAAGGACTTCGCAGGTAGGTGCACGTGCCCTGCCCATAGGCAGAAGCAGAGGCTGCCAGGCCCTTGTGTGTATGTGGACAAGGCTGGTCCTGAGAGGGAGGATTCTCTGGGAAAGGACTTCAAAATACAATCTTTGTTTTTATTTCTAAGAGAACTGGGTTTTTTTTTGTTTGTTTGTTTGTTTTTAAGTATCTCCCTGCTGCTGTGTCTGCCAGACACAGCTCCAGGCTCCTGGGGGGTCTTGCCCACTGTTTTTAGATGCAGCGTGCACACCTCAGCAGAGGGCGCTTCTATACTGTGACTGGGCACTCGGGTCTCGGCCTGCCCTGCTTGCCCTATTAGGGACACTGGGAGGCACTTTTAAGTGAAATAGAGCAGAGGCGCCTCTCCAGACCTGGCACGGGCTTGTGGTGAGAGTCTAGTGCTGCCTGCTACCTAGCTGCCCTATGGAGGGCCTGGCTCCACAGCCTCCCTGCGGGGTGAGCCCTGCTGGCACACCAGTGCTGGGTGCTGCGCTCGGCTTCCCAGGCAGAGGGCCTCCCTGCAAGTCCGAGTCAGGGCCTCACGCCTTCTGTGGCTGCCTTTGTAGCCTGTTTCTCTGGTGCTAGTTAACGAGCTGTGCCGGTGCAACTTCTGTCCCGTGGGCCAAGGCTGGCAAGCTGGGTGTCAGTTGCAAACAGGTGCAGGAGTGTGGCTCTTGAGGACTCAGTGACACACGTGCTAAGTGTCTGCTTCTAGGCTGGACAGCGCTGCACGAGGCCTGCAACCGTGGCTACTACGATGTCGCCAAGCAGCTGCTGGCCGCAGGCGCAGAGGTGAACACCAAGGGCCTGGACGACGACACACCACTGCACGACGCTGCCAACAACGGGCACTATAAGGTTGGCACCTCCTGGCCCCCCCTGCTCCTGCAGCCTGCAGGCTCCCCTGAGGCTTGGCTGCATTGCCTGGAGCACTTGCTTGTAGGGGTACCCTCCACCCTTGGCCAGGCTGGATCTTGCACAGGAACATCTGTCCCTAGTAGGAAGATGGCAGTGTGTGCTGCTGATCCCGTCATCCTCACTGTGGTCCATTGCACCGGGAGGGCAGGTCCAGGTCTGGACCATGGGAGGCTGGGGCCAGGCTTGCCTCCAGCTCTGAGGCAAGATACAGGATGAGCCGGCTGTGCTGCTTCCTGCTGAGGGGACACCTTTGCCAGAGCCCCTTGAGCCACAGTCACAGGCAGGACAGTCCTGGCAGGTGAGGATGGTGGTGCCTTGGCACGTACCACATCTGCCGAGTTCTTGGTGTTCCTATAGAGCAGCCCCTGCCTGGCTGTTCTGGAAGGGTTTCAGGAAGCCATGACTCTGGGGAGAGGGGTTGCTGCAGGGGAGGGGCGGCCAGGAGGGTTCCTAGGGAGGTCTTGACTTTGGCCCCATGTTTGACAGAGGAGCTACTGTTCCAGTGGTAGGTGAGGGGATGGCGTCATAGCGCGCTTTGGGGGCTTTGTTTTTGTGCCCTTTCTTTCCTCCCATACTGGGGCTTGAACCCAGGGGTGCTTAACCACTGAGCCACAGCCATAGCTCTTCTCATTTTGAGATAGGACCTTGCTGAATTATTGAGGCTGGCCTTGAACTTGTGATCCTCTACCTCCCTAGTAGTTGGGACTCTGGGTGTAGCTACTACACCCAGCTTGTTTGTTTTCAAAAGGGTCATTTTAGAGAAAGGGACTTCAGTAGAAAATGCAGTATCTGAAATTTACTAAGAAAAACTTTCTGGAGGTGGGCAGGTGTGAGTCTGAAGTGAACCTGGCTAAGAGTAGAGGGGGTCATAGTCTGGACCTCTGCACTCCTGGGATGTGTCACCACTGTGGAAACAGGGAGGCTGGAAGGATGGTGGCCCTTTGGGGAGGCCTGCTGGGGACAGGAGGGACTTGGCCTGTGTTGGCCTTAGGGTAGGCCCAAGGCTGAGGCACCTGGTGACCTCCACCAGCAAGATATAGCCAGGAACCCACTTTGGCCATCAGCCACCTGAGGAAGGAGGCCGAGCCAGCGAGACTGGCTCCCCAGACCTGAGGTGGGTCGTGCCCTCTGTCGTAGCCGCAGCTGCAAACGCAGATGTGTAGGTGCTGCTGACGTGTGGCCAGTGGGAGCTGAGAGAGGAGACAGCCACTGTGAGCACCTGGTGGCACAGGCAGATGAGACACAGGTTGCCGATCGTAATGATTGAACCAGGCTGTCGCACACCACCAGAGCACTTCTGTCCCTCATAGCCACCCTCCATGTGACTCCAAGCAAGGAAGAGATGGCCTTATTTTCTCATGTAAATGAAAATAAATAAACCAGCTTGCAGAAACTTTTGTCTTTGTTCCCTCTATTCTGTACCCCATGATCTCCTCCACCCGCCAGAGCTGCGCACCTGCTGGGCTCACTGTGGCGGGAGGGGGGTCTTGCTGAGAAGATTCCAGGAAGCGGTGCACAACTTGCAGAGGAGCACCAGAGAAAAATGGAAGGCAGTGAGGGCGGAGGAGCCCTCCTGTGGAAGAGGACGACCAGCAGGGTGCACCCAGGGACATGGCCAGCGTCTGCTGAAGGGCACTTAATGGCCGGCTGCTGGGCGGAGCGGTCCCCCAGGGGAATCCTGTGTTGGCCGAGAGGCTCCCTGACGTGGCTGTCGTGTCTTGCAGGTGGTGAAGTTGTTGCTGCGGTATGGAGGAAACCCTCAGCAGAGCAACAGGAAAGGGGAGACCCCGCTGAAAGTCGCCAACTCCCCAACTATGGTGAACCTGCTGCTGGGCAAAGGCACGTACACCTCCAGCGAGGAGAGCTCCACGGGTAAGCCTGGCTGTGGGCGGACAGCGGGGCGGGCCTCCCCTGCCACGGGCAGCCCTGCAGCATCTGCATGTGGTGTTTCCCTGCAGATGGCCACGCAGGGTCTCCCAGCCTCCTGGGGGCCTGGCGCCTTCAGGAACTCCGGACTGCAGGAGCCACACCTGGGGCCTGGCTGCCGAGAAGCTGCGGTCTCTGCCGGGAGGCCAGCCCCACCTCTGAGCAGACTTCTCGGTTCCCTCTGCTGTGGCTGGCCTCAGATGGGATAGATCAAATGACGTGCTTCTCCAGAAGCAGGGGCTGGCCAGCCCTGCCCTCCTGGGTGACCACGCATCCGGGGAGGCCCTTCCTTGCTGCAGCGGCAGAGCTGCCCCACCCTGATCTGGGAGAGTGGCTCTGAGCCTGCCTGACCGCTCCCTTCCTGTCCCCACAGAGAGCTCCGAGGAGGAGGACGCCCCATCCTTTGCACCTTCCAGCTCAGTTGATGGCAACAACACGGACTCCGAGTTTGAGAAGGGCCTGAAGCTCAAGGCCAAGAACCCAGAGCCTCAGAAGACTGTGACACCTGTCAAGGACGAGTATGAGTTTGATGAGGATGATGAGCAGGACAGGGTCCCTCCTGTGGACGACAAGCATCTGCTGAAGAAAGACTATAGGAAAGAACCCAAGGCCAGCAGCTTCGTGTCAATCCCCAAGATGGAGGTCAAGAGCTATGCCAAGAACAGCACCACCGCGCCAAAGAAAGCCGCCCATCGCATCCTGTCCGACACCTCAGACGAGGAGGACGCTGGCCTGGCTGTGGGCGCGGGGGAGAAGCTGAGGCTCTCAGCGCACACAGTCCTGCCCGGCTCGAAGGCCCGCGAGCCCCCTGCGCCCAGGCAGCAGAAGGAGAAGAGCAAAGTGAAGAAGAAGCGGAAGAAGGAGGCCCGGGGCAAGGAGGTGCGGCCTGGGAAGAGGAGTGACAAGCTGTGCTCCTCCGGGTCCGAGCGCGCATCCTCCGAGAGCGAGGAGGACGGGGACTCGGTGGGGAGCACGGGCTGCCGCAGGGGCTCCCCCCTGGTGCTGAAGGACCCCTCACTCTTCAGCTCGCTGTCAGCCTCCTCCACTTCGTCCCATGGCACCAGCCACGCCGACCAGCACAGCAAGCACTGGCGCGCGGACAGCTGGAAGGCCGTGTCCTCCCCTGCCTGGTCGCAGGTCAGCTCGCTGTCGGACTCATCAGGCACCGGCCTGACAAGCGAGTCGGACTGCTCCTCCGAGGGCTCCAGCGTGGAGTCCCTAAAGCCCGCGAGGAGGAAGCAGGAGCACCGCAAGAGGGGCAGCCTGCAGAGCATGGCTCCTGAGAAGAGGGGCGGCTTCCACCCCAGCGTGGACGGCGCCGTGCCCAAGCTCGACAAGGAGGGAAAAGTCGTCAAGAAACACAAGACGAAACACAGACACAAAAACAAGGAGAAGGGGCAGTGCCCCAGCCAGGAGCTGAAGCTGAAAAGCTTCACCTACGAGTACGAGGACCCCAGGCCCAAGGCCGACAAGGCCGCCCTCCTGGACAGCGACGTCTCCGCGGAGGGCAGGCTGCGGGTGTTGAAGCATGACCGAGACCACCTCAAGAGGGAGGAGAGGCTGGGCAGGACGAAGCCCGAGGACAAGGAGTGGCTCTTCAGAGACGAGAAGCCACTGAAGAGGATCAAGGACGTGGGCAGGGACGGCGGCAGGGCCTTCCGGGAGGAAAAGGACCGGGCTGGCAGGGCTGAGCGGGAGAGGCTGGGCAAGGAGAAGTCCCCCAAGGAAGAGAGGCTGCGGCCGTACAAGGAGGAGAGGAAGAAGAAGGCCCGGGACCGGCCCCCCAAGCCGGAGAAGAAGGGCGAGGCCAAGGAGAAGGCCCTGAAGGAGGACAAGGAGAGGCTCCGGAGGGAGAAGGCCTACAGGGAGGACGCAGCCTTCGACGACTGCTGTCACCGGGGCCACTTCCTGGAGAGCGAGGACTTGTCCGACGACCAGCAGGACAGGTGGTTTTCAGACCTCTCCGACTCCTCCTTTGACTTCAAAGGGGAGGACAGCTGGGACTCCCCAGTGACCGATTACAGGGACATCAAGAGTGACTCTGTGGCCAAACTCATCTTGGAAACGGTGAAAGAGGATAGTAAGGAGAAGAAGCGGGACAACAAGGCCCGGGAAAAACGAGATCTCAGAGACTCTTTCTTCCGAAAGAAGGACCGGGACTACTTGGACAAGAGCTTGGAGAAGAGGAGGGACCAGGTGGAGAAGCACCGGGGCCTTCCCAGCTACCTCCCCGACAAGGACAAGAAGAGGAGAGAGTCCTCGGAAGGCACACGGGACCCACGGGACCGGAGAGACGCCCTGGAGGGCTCCAGGGAGCGGAAGGATGTCCGCCTGCGGCCAGAGGAGCCGCACAGGGAGGAGCTGAAGGAGTGTGGCTGCGAGGGCACCTTCAAGGACAAGCCCGACTGCGACCTCGCCAAGAGCCTGGAGTCCTGGGAGCGGCACCACGCAGCTCGGGAGAAGGAGAAGAAGGAGAAGGCTCGCTCCGAGAGGCACAAGGACAAGTCCAGCGACAGGGACCGAGGGGAGAAGTGTCCGAAGGACAGAGACTTTGACAGATGCCTCAAGGAGAGGAAGGATGGCAAGGAGAAGCACAAGGACAAGGACACACACAGCAGAGACCGAGACAGGAGGGCCGGCCTCGACCAGGCCCGGGAGAGGAAGGACAAGACCTTCCCTGCAGCCGCCTCCGAGGACTCCTCTGAAAAGAGAGAGGAGAAGAAGGGGAAAGAGAAGAGCTGGTACATCGCAGACATCTTCACAGACGAAAGCGAGGACGAGAAAGAGGAGTACCTGGCCAGCGGGCTGCGGGCAGGGGAGGCCTGCGAGGCCCCCAGGGCGGACGCCCTCCAGGAGAGGGAGGACGGGAGGGAGCTGCCCGCGGCAGACAGGCACAGGAAGTGCCCCTCCGACAGGCCCCACGAGAAGCCCCGGGACAAGGAGCCCAAAGAGAAGAGGAAGGACAGGGGTGCCCCCGAAGCAGGCAGAGACAAGAAGGAGAAGGCCTTGGAGAAGCACAGAGAGAAGAGGGACAAGGACCGCAAGGACCGGGTACTGGCCGACGCCACCCAGGAGAGGCGAAGCAGGCAGAGGCCACCCGAGAAGGTGGAGAGGAAGCATCCCGGGGAGGACAGGGCCAAGAGCAAGCACAAGGAAAAGCCGGACCGGGAGCGGAGGGCCTCGCGGGGCGCGGAGGCGGAGCGCAGCCTGCTGGAGCGGCTAGAGGAGGAGGCGCTGCAGGAGGGCAGGGAGGAGGCGCACGACAAGGCCAGCGAGGGCTCCTCCGACAGCTTTGCAGACCGCGGCCCCGAGCCCGGCCTGAGCGCCCTCCTAGAGGTGTCCTTCTCAGAGCCGCTGGAGGACAAGGCCCGGGAGGGCCCCTGCCTGGCGGAGAGGCTGAGAGAGAAGGAGCGGCACCGGCACTCCTCCTCCTCCTCCAAGAAGAGCCACGAACGCGAGCGGGCCAAGAAGGAGAAGGCCGAGAGGAAGGAGAAGGCCGAGGACTACAAGGACGGGGGCAGGAGGGAGCCCGGCCAGTACGAGAAGGACTTCCTGGACGCCGAGGCCTATGGCATCGCCTACTCTGTGAAGGTGGACGGCGAGGAGGAGCTGGACAAGGCCACCGACGGGTTTTCTGAGAAGAGAGAGAGGAGCGAGCCCGAGAGGGAGCCTCCCAAGAAAGTGGAGAAGGAGCTGAAGCCTTTCGGGTCCAGTGCTCTCGGCTCCCTGAAGGAGAAGAGGAGGAGGGAGAAGCACAGGGAGCGGTGGCGGGAGGAGAAGGACAAGCACAGGGACAGGCACCACAAGGAGGAGCCGCGGCCCACCGTCCGGGACAAGGAGAAGGGCAGGGAGGAGGCCCTGAAGCTGGGTGAGGCCAAGCCTAAGGAAAAGCCCCGAGAGGGCACAGAGAAGGAGAGGGGCGACCCCACCAAGATCAGCAACGGCATGGACAAGCTCCCGCCACCCAGAGACCCAGGCAAGAAGGACGCCAGGCCCCGGGAGAAGCTGCTGGGGGACGGCGACCTGATGATGACCAGCTTTGAGCGGATGCTGTCGCAAAAGGACCTGGAGATTGAGGAGCGGCACAAGCGGCACAAGGAGCGCATGCGGCAGATGGAGAAGCTGCGGCACAGGTCTGGGGACCCCAGGCTCCGGGAAAAGGCAAAGCCCG